ACAAATTCTGTGCCCTATGAAGAAGTGAAAAAAACAAGCAAACAAAAGACCAAAAACAGAACAATGCATACTAACTGACTAATTACAAACACATGATACACACAGAGACATGGCATCTGTATCAAAGTTCCTTTTCCATTACCATCTTAACTGCAAATGGTCGCTATCCAAGGCAGAAGGATTTTTTGTGTGTGCCTTCAAGTCTGAAGTTTCTGACTTCTAGTGATTGCCTGGGCAAGTCCCTGTAGTTTTCTTGGCAAGATTTCAGAAGCAGTTTGCTGTTGCCCTTTTCCTAAGCTTAAGAGGAGTACTGGCCTAAGGTCACCCAGCTGGCTTTGTGTTTAAGGTGAGACTAGAACTCACAGTCTCCTAGTTTCTAGCTCGTTGCTTTATATACCGTGGGAAGAAATATCCATCTGGTTCAGTTCCAAGCCGGGAAAAAGACACTGGAAACATGGAGGCTGATTGCAAAGAGGATTTAATGATGAACAGAACCACCAAGCACATGGTTCTGTTGCAGCTGACCACATGGAGTTGAATGTGTGTAGGGTTTTATGTCTTCTTTGGGCTTTGCACTTGAACTTCCTGTTCTGGCGCAAGAACATGTGTTCTATTGGCTGTTGTCAGACTCCCATGGGGCCATATAGGGGTTATGTAGGGGCCATGTAGGGGTTATGTAGGGGTCTATTGGTTGTCTGAGCTCCCAGGTTTGATTGAAGTTTGTGAGGGTAATGCAAAGTTTGGACAATTTCTATTGTGGCGGAATGTCTTTTTCCTGTGTTGGATCTTGGGTGACGGTATTTGCTTATGAACAGAGCTATCTCTCTCTTTATATCTTAAGTGCTAACATCTGCTGAGGGCTATTAAGAAAGGTGGGGGCTGCTTTCTCCCTCTAAAAAAAACATGTTTCTCTATTTCTCATCCAGGGAAATACAATATTCTGCCTTTTTAATGTTCCTCAAAATATGTCATTCTTCTAGGAGGGGGCTGGCTTCCCTCAATACTATGCTAAACTCGCTCCCAAATAAAGACTACCTGTATTGAAAAAGTACATAGTGATCCCCAAGGGTTGTAAATTACTGCTCTCAGCCATAATGGGAGAGGAATATAAAAGACTGTAAGAAAAGCTGCTCAGGACAGGTTCAGATTTTCAAATTATCAGGATAATAAATGGATATGTTCCACTGCATGTTGCTCCATTAAGGCAGCATGACTTTGGAGGCATGGCTTATTTTGTTGGAGTATTTCTTTAACAATAACTTTTAGTGTGTGTGTAATAATAATTTTTGTGCCTAATTCTCCATGGTTTGTAATACCTGGGAACAGAAAGCATTAGCAATCTTCTTGACCTATTAATTTACTTTTTTCCTTGCTGTTTATGGCCAGTTTATGGTCCAACTCTTTAATGTGATTCTTCTATTGGAATTTAGAACAATAGTTTAACACAGTAGCGTCCTTCATTTTTTTAAAAAAGCTATGTATTACATTTTGAACATGCAACCTATTTGAATTCAAAATGCCGCTTTTCAAGCGCTAAACAATCATTCTGAGCAGAAGACCTGCTTCAAAAAAAAAAAAAAAGATTCCTTCAATCATTTTGGATGCTGAATGATCAAAATTGTTCATTTTAAATTGCATCCAAAGCAATTCTGTCAAGCTCAAAACAGTGAGGTGTTTTGAATGCAAAATATTTTGTATCCCTGAATTCTTAAAAAAAAAAATGGAACAAAAACTGAAACGAACTCTCTGGAATGAGATCTATTATTTACATGTTTGACTTCAACTGATTATTTTAGGGTTCTGGAAATGATATAGAGTTTATTTCAAGTGAGAATTTAGCTTAATTGGATTCTTTTTCACATATAATACATTGTTTCTCTCAAATTACCTAACTTGTCAGCAACTACATTTTCAATTTAGTTTTCAAATATTGATCATAGTAGATTTTGGAGAGTTTAAAATACATAGAACAGTATTTGATGAACCATCCCTATTCAATACACTTCAGACTAATGCAAACGTAGCACAAAATTCACAAGGTGGGATAGTTAATGTCATATAACAAAAGGAAGACGAAAAAGTGGCTGAAAGTTAAAGAGGATGCAATGTGACATCAGATGATATTTGACAAGGTGAAGGACACATTTGCCACTTATAAACCTGAGATGGCCATCCATCTGCTTTTTGGATTATCCAAAGATATGGATAAGTTCATTTCAATTACATCTCTTGAATATTGTGAGTGGTTTACTATTCACAGGGAATGTTGCGGGTCCCATCTCTGAGGGAGATATATCTGGTGGGACCCAGAAGAAGGGCCTTCTCCGTGGTGGCTCCCTCTCTCTGGAACATCATTCCCTCAGAAATTAGAATGGTCCCCACTCTAATACTCTTCCGGAAGGTGCTGAAGACCCGGTTCTACCAGTGGGCCTGGGAAATGCAAAGGGGGATGGAGCCCATCGATCTGCTGTCATCCAGGCGGGGGGTGGGAGTTGCAGGGTGATTTTTTATTTATTTATTTTTTCCGGATTTTGTTCTATTGTACTTTATTAATTTATTTGATTATTTTGTTAGTTTTTATTGTTGTTTTTTAAATTTTAAATATGGTTTTACACTCTGTAAGCCAACCTCGAGTGCCATGGGCGAATAGGCGGCAATATAAATTCAATTTTTATTTTTATATTATTATTATTATTATTATTATTTTGGGTATGAATCTCTTAATACACCACAGAAATAAATCCTTACATGATCAAGTATGCATTTGCATTATTGTATGGTCATTATATGGTCTTGGCAGGATGCCCATTGACAAGGGCACAACAATGAACTGCTGCATTAAAAAGAATCATGATGCATTTTTCTATTGAAGGCCCTTTCCTCCCACCCTGCTTTAATGTTGCAGATATTTTTTATAACATCTGAATTAAAATCTTGGTATTAATCTTAGGGGCCTGGCTTAGCACCTGACCATCTACCAAACATCTTTCTCTGTTATGAACTACTTGGCTAGCAGAAGCTGCTGGACAAACCCTTTGTGAAGATGAAGCTATTGTTAGAAGATGACCTTTTTGGAAAATGGATCAGAGGCCATCTCCAGCTTCACTTCCAAACCACGGAATTAATTCCTTTTGGAACATGTGTTTGGCCCTTAATTTCTGTCCCCTAAGAAGAGCAATCTAAGAGCATCTCTTTTGCCATAGCTGAGTTTGCTTTGATTTTAATGTATGTAATTTACATTTTGTTTTGCTTTTATTTATTCTCTGCCTCCTAGCCACCTGAAATATTAAAAAGGCAGAATATTATATTTCCCTGGATGAGAAATTGAGAAACATGTTTTTTAGAAGGAGAAAGCAGACCCACCTTTCTTAATAGCCATCAGCAAAACAAAAAACCTACAGATTCAGGGTGATGGGATTAAGATATAACCCTTCAGGACATAATAGGATTAACCGATTACCATCTAGCAGCAGTGTTCACCACATTGCACAATCTCCTAAGGACATTGCATCCAGAGGTAATATTCAGCAGGTTCTGACCAGTTCTGGAGAACTGGTAGCAGAAATTTTGGGTAGTTTGGAGAAGCGGCAAATACCACTTCTGACTGGCCCCACCCCCATCTATTCTCTGCCTCCCAAGTCCCAGCTAATCAGTTAGGTCTTCTTTTGTTGCCCTGCACAGGAGAACAGAGCTGGAAAGCAGCTTAGTGGGATGGGGAGGGAATGGGATTTTGCAGTAACCTTCCCCCAGAAGTGGAGGGGGAATGGAGATTTTACAGTATTCTTCCCCTGCCATGCCCACCAAGCCACATCCACCAAGCCACAACACGCCCACCAAGCCATGCCCACAGAACTGGTAGTAAAAAAAATTGAATCCCACCACTGATTGCATCACCTTCCAAACTTCAATCAAACTTAGCTCAGACAACCTATAGAGCCAGCTATGACCCCTACATAACCCCTACAACAGCCAATAGAATACATGATCTTGCACAGGAACAGAAAGCTCAAGTGCAAAGCCCAAAAGAAGGTATTAGAGAAGGTGTAGGGTTTCCTGCCTGATGAGGAGGTTGGACTAGAAGACTTCCAAGGTCCCTTCCAACTCTGTTATTCTATTCTATTTCAACCCCTCACTCTCAACTCCATGTGGTCAGCTACCCAGAACCCATGTGGTTCTGGTTCATCATTAAACTCACTTTCCAATCAGCCTCCATGTTTCCAGTGTCTTTCTCCCAGCTTGGAACTGAACCACATGGATATTTCTTTCAACACCCTAAAACATCCCTTGGGCAGAAGAAAAACGTCATGAGTTTCCTTAGTTTCTTTTCCTTTCCCCCCCCCAGTTAAATGAAAATGCTTCAAGCTAAGCAGCAGAAAAGAGTCCTCTGAACGTGTTTATTTTCTAATCAAATGAGACCAGGGGATCTGTTCTGAATAAAGGTGCTTGGTGCTTTGTTCAGCAGTTCCAGCCTATTTCCTTCCTTTTAATTAAACCTGCCTTTAAAAAGAAAACCAGCCATGAAGCACCACGCCTGCCTATTCCCTAATGTTTTCCACAAATCAACAACACATTTGTGGTACTGTGTAAGTAGCTGCCCTGCTGGAAACTTCCTCCATAAATATTCACAAGTTGAGCTCAGTCTTTGATCAGTTTAGCTGAATTGTCTGTTTTTGTTGTTTCTCGCTTTAATACCATAGTTCTATTTTAATTGGCTTCAGATGGCTTTGCTTTACTTTATTGACTTTTTTTTTTTCCTGAGCGTGTTTTACCTGGTGTGATTTGTACTTTTGCTGTGATATTCTCTGTTGTCTGGAAGAATAAAAATGTCTTCCCCTGCAACCAAATAATTCTTGGTACAATTAATGTCAGAAATCTCTGGTGAACAATCCAAGGTGGCCAATGAAGCTTCAGCGTCGTTTCTCAGAATTCTCTGCTTTCGTTTTTTCCCCCCCTTCTCTTACACCAGTTTCTCTCTCTCTCTCTCTCCTCTTCCTTTCTAGGAGATGGTCAAGTTGATTTTGATGAATTCATGACGATCCTTGGGCCTAAACTGGTCTCCTCAGAAGGGCGGGATGGCTTTTTGGGCAATACAATTGACAGCATATTCTGGCAGGTTAGTGGCAAGGTGTTTCCATGTATATTTAAGTCACAGTTGATGGACAAGTGATTACCTCAGAGACTTCTTCTACTAGCCATGTTATCACTAAATGACTTGAAGTTGTTACTTTGCATATTTCTGTACTGACAATGCATGATTCGCAAGATGTCGTGTTGGCTTCTATGGACACTGGTGTCCGTCTCGTCCCTTACCTCAAATGTGGTACAGTTGAAGTGATAAGGACATGCTGTGCAGGTTGCTGGTTGCCATTGAGTGTGTGCTAGGAATGTAAAGGAAATGGCAGTCTAGGAGGGTGGTCTCCATGTTTGGCAACTTAAAGACTTGTGGAATTCAAAGTATAGTCAAATGATTGATTAATAATGATACCAATGTATTTAATATTGGATTGAAAATATGAGATCATATACAATGTAATTGTAATTGAAGACTACGAAATGGAAGCACAAAACAATTTGTAAACCAACCGGCACACTGTATGTACATATATGGAAGATGGCCTGATGTTTTTATGTTTTGTTTGTTTATGTTTGTTTTAAAAACCAATAAAAAATTTATTAAAAAAAATAAAGACTTGTGGACTTCAACTCCCAGAATTCCTCAGCCAGCCATACCAAGGCTGACTGAAGAATTCTGGGACTTGAAGTCCACAAATCTTCAAATTGCCAACTTTGGAGGTCTAGAGTAGGGGTGTCAAATGCAAGATCCACAGGCTGGATCCAGTCCACAGGGTGCTTAGATCTGGACCATGGGACTGCCCTGAAAAAGTGAAAGACCACCCTGCGGTGCCTCTGCCAGTGAAAATGGAGCTCAGGGGCACATGGCCTCCCCAAGTTCCGTTTTCACTGGCAGAAGGCCGCTGCGGCTGAAAATGGAGCACAGGCAAACTGAGTGATATCGAGATGGCCACGCCCACCCTAGCCACGCCCCCCAGCCCCCCGAGGTCAAATACAACTGTGATGCGGCCCTCTATGAAATCGGGTTTGACACCCTAGGTCTAGAGTGTGACTAGAACATACTTAGTATAGGTTTGTTGTACTGTCCTTATTATACTGGGTTGAAAATGATCCAGCTTTCCAAAATCTTCAAAAGAGATGTCTGCCTCTTTCTCATTCACTTCTACTTCATTCATTTTCATTCTCAGAATTTTAGTACAAGTAATCCTCAACTTACAACCATAATTGTAACTAAAATTTCTATTGCTAAGTGAAGCGATTTTTGTTGAGAGGTGCGCCCAATTTTACCACTGTTTGCAATGGTTAAGTGAATCACTTCAGTTGTGAAATGAATCATGTGATCATTAAGTGAATCCATTGTCGGAAGCCAAATGGGAAGGTTGCAAAAGGTGATCACGTGACCCCAGGACAGTGCAACTATTGTAAATATATGCTGGATGCCAAGCGCCCTTATGTTGATCATGTGACCATGGGGAATGCTACATGGTCATAAGTGTGAGGAATGGTCATGTCACTTTTTTCAGTGCCTCTGTAACTTTGAATGGACACTAAATAAATAGTTGTAAGTCGAGAACTATCTGTAGAGAATTTTTTTTAGCTTGTATGTTTATTGCAAGGCTGTGAAGAGAGTTGGCTGCCCACACAGATCTGAATAGGTCCATGAAAAGCATTTCTTGGGATATCTTTTAATTCTTTAGAGCCGTGGCAGCTCAGTGGTTAAACTACAGTATTGCAGGCTGACTCTGCTCACTGCCAAGAGTTTGATCCTGATCGACTGAAGGTTGACTCATCCTTCTATCCTTCCGAGGGTCTGTAAAATGAGGACCCAGATTGTTGGGGGCAATAGACTCAGCTTAGGGAGGGCTGTAAGGCACTGTGGAATGGGATATAAATCCAAATTCTACTGCTATCTTGTCCTTGGTTTTACTGAAAACATTCTATTTAGAGGTAATGGCAAACTGATGGAAAGATAAATATCCAAGATAGGATACTCTCTCACACCCCTTTTGTCTATTTTATTTTATAATGGAGGTTATAATTGAAATTTTTCATCAAAGGTTTTCTTTCAGTTGGGTAAATCTGAAAGCAAAGTTTGTTAAAATGATTGAAAAGATCACATAGATAGAAAGGCATGGTCTTCAGCTGATGCTAGATGATGTAAATCAGATCTCATTAAGGAAATCTTGGTATGACTTGTGTTGCACGAAGAGAAGTGACTTTTAGTAACACTGGTTTTTATTTGCAGCAGTGAAAGAAATGCCTCTTATCTATGCATTTAACGATTCTGGTTTCCTGCTGTTTTTATTTGTTTTGTTTCTATTAGGAGGATTTAAAATGTGCTTTGATTTTATTTCACAACTTCTGTAGTTATTCATTCTGAATTACTTGAGAAAAGGGTGGGCGGGGAGATAAAGATACGAAATTGTTGTTTTTCAATGGTGGCAACTTTAAGATGCGCGTGGACTTCAACTCCACGAATTCCCCAGCCAGCCTGAAATAAAGGAATACTAGTTTCAATTCCAGAGTTCATTAAAAATCATTCACAATGTAAATTCTAAGTCTTAGTGAGTTTTAGTGGATTTACTTAGAATCAAGGAAGAGCAGGGAAGCTCAAGAGGATTCATCACCCACAGAAAGTAGATATTGCTCACTCAGTTTCTCCATACTGCCACGCTTTTAATATTATGGTTCACCCATTGCCCTGGTTGTTATTCCAGGAAGCCAGTGGTGGTATTCTACCCGTTCAGCCCGGTTCATCCAAACCGGTAGTTTAAAAAAATGCTACTGGTCAGTGGTGGAATTCAAATTTTTTTACTACCGGTTCTGTGGGGCGTGGCTTATTTGGTGGGCATGGCTTGGTGGTCATGTGACTGGGTGGGTGTGGCTTAGTGGTCATGTGACTGGGTGGGCGTGGCCAACTCAATGTCACTCACGTCAAGGGGTGCCTCACCTGGCCCCTCCCCTCCCACCCATTCCTTGTCACCCAGCCTCAACTTATCTATAGTTCTGTAAAAATGTTGTTCACCTTTTTTGACTTTATTATCTGCATACTATAGATGTACTTTCATGGACCACTGAAAGGAGGAAATGGCTCACATGCTTTACTCAAGAGTGTGATATAGGCAACAGGCTTTTAAGGGGCTGCCACAAAGAAAGTGGGGGGGATGTATTTTCCAAAGCACCAGGAGGCAAACAAGAAGCAATGGGTGGAAACTGAACAAAGAGAGAAGCAACCTAAAACTAAGGAGAAACTTTCTGACAGTGAGAACAATTAACAATTGTCCCCAGAAGTTCTGGGTGATCAATCACTGGAAATTTTAAAAAGACTAGACAGCCATTTCTCTGAAATGGTATAGGGTTCCCCCAAAAGTCCCTTCTAAGTGTTATTCTGACACCTTTCCCGGGACCTCTACTCAGAGTTTGGCATCCTAAGTTTTCCTGCCTGAGCAGGGGCTTGGACTAGAAGACCTCCAAACTCCCTTTCAACTCTGTTAAAGACACATGTATTTAGGCTCTGGACTATAGACATTGAATGCATGTAAACCCTGAAAAATATGTGGTAGCCCTGGGCAAAAGAAAGGCAGTAGAATCACTCTAGGTGTAGGGACAGTGTAAAATATTAACACATGATAAATAATGGAACAATTAAAAATAATAGCACAGAGTTTTCTCTGTCTCTCTCTCCCTTCCTATTTCTTTCTTTCTTTCTTTCTTTCTTTCTTTCTTTCTTTCTTTCTTTCT